TCTATAACCCAAGCCCAGTGAAATGGGAGGGCACACCAGTATTCAGTTGGAAGGCTAAAGCAGGAGAATGTCAAGTTTAAGGCGAGCCTGGGCCACATAGCAAGATCCCGTTTTACAAAAAGAACTACAAAATGAGATATGAAGCGTATTAGTCAGTGTTCTCTTAGGAATTGCTCAACACAATTATGGAGCCAGTGTGAGCCTCTAGTCCAAGTGTGAGAGACTGGAAGCCTGAAAGCCCAGAGCATAAATCCTGAAAGTGGCAAGGTTAGGACACAATGTTTCAGTCCAAGAAAGGTCAACATTTCAGCACAGACAGAAGGAAGGTCCTCCCTCTTCCAGTGCCTTTCTGTCCTACTCAGGCCTTCAGTCAGCTGGATGAGTCCTCACACATGAAGGAAGGCCATCATCACCCTTCCTCAGCTTTCCTTTATTATTTGTGTGCAGCCCTGGGGTTTGAACTCAGGGCCTCATGCTTGCTAGGCAGGTGCTCTACCACTTGAGCCATTCTGCCAGCCCTCTAACTCAGCTTTTCTTTGTGAATGGCTGAGATCTAGAGTAACGTTTGCCGAATGTGTAGGCACTCCCTTAGCCAAATCCAGTTGACACACGACCATCTCTTGAAGGTTCCTGACCATGTACTGACCATCTGCCTTTTCTTGAGAAACTTGCTAACGTATCTGCACCACCAAAATGGAGGTCAAGCTCACCAGTGCCAGCTGCAGCAGTATTCTTCGCGGCTTGGGCCCCAAAAGTCTACAGTTCCAACATGGCTGCCAGGAGTTCTCTCTCCAAACTCCATGAATGTGCTAGATACTTGTCCACTGTCTCTTGGTTTGGTTCTCATCCTTCTATACACTCCTCAGTGTTGCAGGCAGCTGGAAGACTGTGAACTACATGTCCCAGAGTCCCTTGCCAGCTGATTCGGCCAGTGGGAAGCACTAAGGAAAGATCAGAAGTCTAGAGAGAGCTGGCAGAGTGACTCAAGCAGTAGAGTGCTTGTCTAGTATATGTGAGGTCCTGAGTTCAAACCCCAGTGCCACCAAAAGCAAAGAACAGAAGACACCTCCTGCTTCTGGTGGTGCCTCTAATGATAGCCGGCGAGTCTGGGTTCCCAGATCCTTGCTTTATCATCACATTTCCAACAGTGAGTGTGGCCACCCCCAATCATAAGCAATTGTCTGTAGGGCTCCCTCCAATATCACTCTCCTTTTTTCCTCCCTCTCATGCTAACTAACAGTATTCACCTCTGGTAGTCTCATCTTCCGCCCTGGTGACACCACAGCCTTGAAACATGTTTGCAACCATTTTCCTGTATTCAGTGTTCTGTTTCATTACTTAAAATTTCTTCTGCCAGGTACCAGTGGCTCACACCTGTAACCCTCGCTACTTGGGAGGCTGAGATCAGGAGGATCACAGTTCCAGACCAGTGAGAGTCCATCTCCACAGAAAAAAGCTGAGTGTGGGGACACGCACCTGTTAGCCCAGAGACAGTGGGAAGTGAAAAAAAATAGGAGGATCATAGTCCAAGCCAGCCTGGGCAAAAGGCAAAACCCTCTCTCCGAAATAACCAGAGTAAAAAGGGCTGGAGTGTGGCTCAAAGGGTAGAGCACCTGCCTAGCAAGCAAGAAAGTCTGAGTTCAAATCCCAGTACCACTGGAAAAAAAAAATAAAGAGTTCTGTTTTCCTGGTTGGACTTCCACTGGCTTGGGCAGTCCCAAGAGACTGTAGTGCTTCACAGCCTCATACGGGTACATCTGCCAGGGCCAGGGAGGCAGCACACCAACTCCTATGCGCTTTGACTTAGGAATATCATATGTCACTTCTGTTCATACTCCATCGACCAAATTGGTCACTTAACCCTCATTCCACTGCACAGAAGATTTGCAAACAGAAGAACACTTGGAATATTCTATGAGCTCTGAGTATCAGATGGAAGTTATCGAGTGAGGGAAGGCATAGTGTGAGGGGAGCTGACACTGATTCAAGACAGTGTGAGTGAGATAGGAAGGTTCCAGAATTCGGGCAATAGACATTCCAGAGGAAGCAACCTCAAGAATGACCCCAGGAAATGGCATAAAACAAGCAGAGCTGAACACTTGGATTAATTGTGGAATTAAGCTGAGAGGCATTTCTAGAGCCAAAGGAGGATGCAGGAAGACTTACAAAGAGATTGAAGAATAAATCAAAGCAAATAGAAAGAAAAACAAGGGAGGGGGTGCTATTCACTCTGGAAAGAACTAAGAGTCCTACAGAAGGAAACCAACAAAAGACTACTAGCCAGGCACGGTGGCTCCCAGCTGTAATCCCAGCTATGTGGGAGGCGGAGGTAGTAAGGTCATAGTTGACGACAAGCCCAGGTAAAATCATGAGACCCTACCTGAAAAACAAACTAAAGTAAAAAGGACTGGGGGTTGTGGCTTAAGTGTAGAGCACCTGCCTAGTAAGCCGGGCAGATTCCTGTACCAACTCCTACCCCAAAAACTAAAGGGACAAAAAAGGAAGCAAAGGTGGCGGTCATGTCAGGTAATCAGGTATGAACAGAATACTCCCGGGGAGAAACTGTTCATTGCTTCTAGAAGACCCGGCACTGTTGTATTTATTTATTTATTTTTAGATAGAGTTCTTTACTATATAGTCTGGGCTGCCCTCAAACGCCCAATCCTTCTGCTTCTGCCTCCCTAGTGCTGGGATTACAGGTGTGTACCACCATGTCCAGCGGTACACATAATTATGCAAAGGTGAGCAGTGAGCCTGGAAAAAAGGTGAAGGAAAACCCGCAAAGGGGTCAGAGAGAGGGTAGACCAAGAGGAGGAAAGGTGTTTTTCTCTTAGCGGTCCAGCAGAAGTGTCCAGTGCCTCCTCAAGGCAGAAGATGAGGGGTTTAGGACATGGAGGTGGCTGGTTACATAAGAGGGAACTGGTCTGGGTGGAGTGATGGAGTAGAGGCCAGGGTGGAGAGAGGAAGGATGGATGGGCAGCAGAGAGAGAAATGAGGTTACATAGTTTGAAGATGGGAGAGCCAGGCAGATGTGCAAATGCTGCTGGGAAGAAACCAGGAGAAATGTTAAAAATTTGAGGTGTGAGGAAGGTGCTTGGGAACTGAAGTTTCCAGGAGGAGAAGGAGCAGGCAGAGAGACAGCTCTGCCCCATGGAAGTGGGGAAGTGCACACCGTCCTCCTTGTCTGCTCAGTTGTCCTTATGCTACTGTTGGTGCCGGCTGATGGTCTATCTCCACCTCACGGATGGAAAGTGGTACTGTGCCTTAAGTTACCTGGCTGCAAGAGGTCCCCAGGACACCGAACTATTCTGCCTCCAAAGCCAGGTACTTATTGCTGCACAGGTGCCCGGATGAATCAGTCAAGGCCCTCTGGAGCTGCTAGCCTGCCAGTGAAGGCTCCAGAATACAGGCTTTTCAGGCAAGGGTCACTGAGCAAGCCCCAAACTTTAGGGCCTGTGGGGAGCAGAAGGAATCAAAGTGTGTGACAGTGCTGTAAGCAAGGAGACAGGAAGGAGGACAGGGCTGAGGCCCCAAGAGAGCTCCCGTCCCCCTCCAGCCAGGCATTTCCACTGCGCCACAGGAGTGGCTCTTTCCCAGATCTGGTTTTTCATGTAAATATTCCAGATTGGAGAGGTCTGTGATTTGACATTAAAGCCCAGTGGTGGGAATATGGAGATGGTCAGGTCAAACCTGGCTGGGAGGAGATCCCTGACCCAGACAGACAGACAGTGTGGCAAGTCAGAAAGGGAAAGAAGCCACCAGAGACCATGGCTCAGAGAAGCTGAGAGAGAAAGGCCTGGAATAGACTAGGGAGTGCCTGACCACTCTGCCTTGTGGCTAGCACGAGGGAACAGGGATCCTTATCCCTGGAGTGGGACCAGCCAGCTCTGCCAGTTCATGAAGGTGGCCCAGACAAGCCATTGTATCCATTTGGGTGACAGCTGTTGCCCAGGCTGCATGAATTCTCTGCCTGCCTGGTCTGGACTGGCCTGGCCAACTCAGGAGGAAGGGGTTCAAGACGTGGACTTGTGAGGCGCGGATGGGGCCTCCAAATTAATTGTCATCTAATTGCTACTTGGTCACAATTTGTGACCCCTGCCGGGGGGGAGGGGGGGACGGACTCTGAGGTCAAGTCGACCCTTCAGAAGGTGGCAGGCGCCAGGGCTGGGAGCCCCATTCCGTCCGCACCCATGCAGTGACAGTCACCAACCCCGGCGCGCGGACACGCGCACCAGGGATGCGGCACAGCGCGCGCTGCGCTCGGCACCGGCCGGCCCGGGACGCACGCAGTGCCGCGCATCGTGTCCCCCGGTCCGGGTGAGTGGCCGGGTCCGGGCCGGGAAGGGTTAAACCCACCGAGCTGGCGGCGGCCTAGAGCGGCGGTGGCGGCGGCGGCGGCCGTTGGTGGTGGTAGTAGTGGTGGTGGTGGTGGCGGGGGCCGGGGCGCGGGGGCGCGGCGGGCCGCAGGGGCGGGGGACAGGATGCGGATGCCGGGGGGACTTCCTGTGCCGGCCCCCGCTCCCCCCACCCGCGCCCGCAACCCCCGCCCCGGCCCGGCCGCTGCCCGCACGGACGCACGCACACCGGCGGGTGGGCGAGCGATCGGGGACCCGGCCCGGCCGTGGCGCCCGCCCGTCCCCCGCGCCCTGGCCAACGCGGCCCGACCCAGGCCGTCCGCGGGCTGCGGGGCACCTGTGGCCAGCGCTCACCTAGGATCCGTGTCGCCCAGCTGCCACCGGCCACACCAGACTGGACCACCCCGCCGGGGCGAGCTAAGGCCCTGGCCTCGGCCCTGCTGCGCGCGATGGTCCCGCCAGGCCAGCCCTGATTCGGGGCTCTGCTTCCCGCCCCTGTCCCCTTTCGAGAGTCGCCACCAACTTCTGCCTGGGGAACTCCACTCTGCCCCTTCTCTTGGCCCAGGGCGACCTCGGCAGCCCTGACAGCGCAGACCCTCCTGAGTGCCCAGAAAGGCCCCCCGGGTGGCCTGCACCTCCCCGGTGGCTCTTTCTGGATGGAGGCGCCTCGGGAAGGAGCTGGCTGAATGCTGTGGCCTTCACCTTGCAGCCTCCACTGACCACACCTCCCCTAGTGCAGAGGCTGCCGCCAGAAGGAAATGTTGTACCAGGTGAGGCCCAGGCTTGGAGGGGGGCGGGGAGGGCTGCCTCTTATGAGAGGTAGAACTGGCTTCCAAAAGCCAGGGGAAGCTGGCAGCAGCCTGGGTGACAGGGTGCAGAGGCCTGGATGAAGGGCCACCTCTGCAGGGTGGATTCAGGAGGACAGGCCTGCAGGCAGCACCTGTCATGTGTCACAGTGCTCTGGCCACCTACCTTTCAGGGAGCTGGGGTGGCACCTGATACATATGGCTTGCTGGTGGCCTTGGAAGGCTGGGCAGGTCCCCAGAGCAGTTTGGGAGGCAGAAGGTCCTGGAGACCAACAGAATGGAAGGGGGATGTGACATGAAAAGTTTCTCTCTGTCCGAGAGCACCCTGAAATATCCCTTCTGTGACTCCAGCTTCCTGCCCTTGTGAGGGGGCTGGTTCCCACAGTGGTGTCTCAATGAGGAGCAGCCACAGGCCTCTGACCAGGCTGAGGTGGAGCCCTGTGAATACAAAAAAGTTGCCTCTCCGCTTGATCTAAGAGCCACTTCCCACTTGACCAGCTTCCTTCCTTCCTCTCAGCACAGCCAGCATCTCAGGTTCCTGGTGTGACCTCCAGGATGGAACTGGGACCAGCGGCGACAGAGACCTTCGTGTTGGAACTGCGATGTCTTGAGGATGGAGGCCCAGGGCCCGACACCCTGTCAGGTGAGGGCTGGAGGGGAGCGAGGCCTCCAGCTAGGATCTTTCACAGAGCCCCAGATCCTGGGGGTGGCGGCAGCCCGCACCTGTTCAGGCTGGTCAACTTCAGCATCCTTCAGTAGCCTTTGCATGTTTGCCTGTGGATCTGCCAAGGTCGCTTTGTCAGGCTGAAGTCTTGTTGACCAGGGACTTCCTGGTGGTACCAATGCCTCACCCTGGCCCCCCTCACCTGTGCTAGCTTGAGCCTGCTGGTCGTCACTTGCCCCAGCAGATAGGTGACCGCCACCATTGTCTTCCCATGTGGCCCTGGCTCTGACCCCAGTCCTTAAATGGAGTTGAAGGGCAGAAGAGCTCTGCTCCGCCCCTCGTGCCTCAGTGGTGGCTCTATGATCTCTTTTCTCCTGTGGCTTCTACCCTTTATCACTATTCCCCTACCTCTGCTCCCACTTCTGCTGCTGAGCCTCCCTCAGAGCCACCCTCCTCTGGGACCCACTCTGTCTGAACCTTTTAAGGTAGCCAACTCATGACAGCCAGATTTTCCATCTGTGCTGAGTAAGAGCATGGGGCAGGGTTGAACAGAGCTGATATAGAACTAGAGGTGTTGGATTGCAACCTGTAGATTAAACAAAGATTCTTCCCAACTGTAAATTTAACTAACCAAAATCTCTTGAGGGTATACATGTCGGGCAACACTTAGCTACACATTTGCTAAAATGCCTTTGTTAAAAATCCTGGCATTGCCTGGCAACAGTGGGTTACACCTATAATCCCGGCTACTTGGGAGGCTGAGATCAGGAGGACTGCCATTCTAGGCCAGCCCAGGCAGTTCTCAAGGCCCCATCTCTAAAATAACCAGAGCAAAATGGACTGAAGGTGTGGCTCAGACAGTAGAGCGTCTTGTTTGCAAGTGCAAAGCCCTGAGTTCAAACCCCAGTCCTACCAAAAAAAAAAAAAATTGCTGACATTGACACCTCAGGAATCAGATTGGCCATGTGGCCAAGCTAGAAATGAGATGATTTACAGAGGAGGATGGAGAAGGGGATGTTCTAAGGGACATTGGACTTGAAATAGGGGCAGGTATTTATGACATTAATTTTTTTTTGCTGCAGCACTGGGGCTTTAACTCAGAGACTCAGGCTTACTAGGCAGGCACTCTGACCACTTGAGCCACACCACCAGGGACAGGTGTTCACAACTGTCTTCATCCACCATCCCAAGTGGTACATTCACCCCAACTGAAAAATGCACTCACTGATCCGTTATCCTAAGCAAGGTTTATTAGAAATATTTTTTACAAGGGAATTATACATGTAGATATGTGTTTGTCTGCTTTGAAACAGTGTCTCACTGTATAGCCCAGGCTGGCCTTAAATTTTTAATCCTCTGCCTGCCTCCATTTCTCAAACACTGAGATTATGGGTGTGCCTGACCATGCCCAACTTATCCTTTGGTTTTAGTAAATCAATATATTCCTGGAGCTAGACACAGTGGTACACACCTGTAATTCCAGCTACTCAATGAGGCAGAGATGGAGAGGATTGCAGTTCTAGGCCAGCCCAGGGAAAAAGTTAGCAAGACCCTATCTTGATCCATAAGTTGAGTGTGGTGGTATATGCCTGTGACCTCAGCTACCTCGGAGGCCATAGGCAGATATGGCCCACCTCAGGCAAAAATAGGGGACCCTGCCTGAAAAGTAAATAAAAGCAAAAAGGGGCTGGGGATGTGGCTCAAGTGGTAGAGTGCCTGTCTCACAAGTGCAAAGCTCTGAGTTCAAACCCCAGTACTGCCAAATATATATACATATATGTGTGTATGTATATGCACATATGTACACGCACAGATATGTGTATGAAAAGTGCCAAGAAAACAAAAGTTTAGCAATCAAACCATTGCTTTCCATCACAAAATCGAAAAGACCATGCTTTATGGTGGATGGACTTCATATACCTATATGAAACTGAGCTAAGAAACCTCTTGCAATTGCTTTAAGTGGGGTGGGGATGGGGGGTGAGGGGGAGAGACGATGGGGGCGAGCTAACCAATGTATAATATAAGTGTAATCTGAATTGTCACTATGAATCCCCCCATACAATGAATATATTCTAATAAAAAATTTGTTAATAAAACAGCCATTGCTGTAGGCAGAACAGATGTTGAATCAGACTTAGAAGTGGAGAGAGCTCCCAGGATCATGTGTATAAAGAAAATTAGGATTTTCTGAAAGTACAATATTGATATGCAGAATAAGAAACCGAGTGTGGACACTGTGCAGAAGGAAAACTGTGGCAGTGGGGTGCTTCTTGTGTTTGCAGGGCTTACTCTATGCCTTACACAACACTGGGCTGCTGCCTTTACCCTGCATTCTCCCAGTGCAGTAATTGACCAGCCTCTGTGTAGACTGGAGGCCATTAGTTCTTCCACTCCGGAACGTTTTAAATGGAGCTAATTGTACCCTGGTTAGTTCCAAACTGAGGGAATTTTCAAGCATCTGCCAGGTTCTAGAGAATGTGCAGGGTCCTTAAGCCTGTGAACAGGTGCTAACTGGAAGGGTTGGATCCTGAAATGAAGACTTCCCACCTGGTGATCTCTCTGACACTTGGTGGATTTTAGAAACTGCTTGTGGCCATTGTTCCAGGCAGTTTTTCTTATGGGCCAGGCATAGTGGTACATGCCTATAATTTCACACTCAGGAGGATTGCCATCTGTCCAAGGCCAACCCCGTGCAAAAATGCAAGGCCTTATCTGAAAAACAAACAAAGCAAAAAGGGCCGGGTATGTGTGTGGTTCAAGCAGTAGAGCAAGTGTGAGGCTCCGAGTTCAAACCCCAGTACCACCATCACCAAAAAAAAAAAAAGTGTTCTTTGATATTTACAGAGAAGGTGAGTTTCATGATTTCAAGTGTGACCATCGCTGAGATCACTGAGGTCAGAGCGTTGGTCATTGGAGTGGCCAGAGAACTGACTTCCACTGGACAGGGTGAAACACAGAGACATTTCAGGGAACCCTGCTGGGAGCCCCAGGCACCTGTGCTGGTGCCAAGCATCTAACCATGGAGTTTGTGTGAAGGGAGGACCAGAGGAGGGGTCAGGGAGCTGGGATCCAGAATGAGAGGACCATCAGTCCCTTGGGCACATTTCTAAGCCCCTGGCATTTCAGTTTCTGCAATGCTGTCATTGTCATGTGATTCAATGCTTTGAGACCCTGCTAAGAACTCCTTAGTGTAGCCTTTAGTGGCTGTACACAGGCAAGGTAAGGGGCAGGTCCTGGGGGGCCCAACCAGAGAGCCGCCTATAGATCCTTCTCTCCTGGCTTCCTGCCATTTCCACTACAGGTGGCAGCGGTGGAAGCGACAGTCAGGAAGATGAAGAGACTCAGGAAGGCAGAAGCAGCCCACCACGACCAGCAGTTTCTGCCTCAATGGGGGCCAGTAGCATCACTGAGGAAGGCCAGCTGGGACAACAGGACTTTCAAGGACAACAGTCAGAGCATCATCCAACACTACACCAACAGCCGGAGCACCAGCAGGAACAGCAACCACAGCGCCCACCGCTGGGTCATCAGCTGGAATCGCAACAAGAGCATTCACAGCAGGACGGGCAACAGCAGCTGTCTCAGCCACCACAGGAACCACAGGAACCACAGGAAAGCCACCAATCCACGCAGCACCAAGAACTGAAGCCAGAGCTGCAGCTAACACAGCAGCATGGACAGGGACGTGAGCAGCAAGTGCCGGAGCAACAATCACAGAAGCCACAGCCACACCAAGTGAAAGAGCAACAGCCGGTGCACCAGCAGCAGGAACCGCTACCACAGCAGCCAGTGCAAGTTCAAGAGCAACAGCTGTTGCGGCAGCAGGAGCAGCACCAGCAGCAGCAGTTGTTGCAACAGCACCACCAGGAGCAGTTAAGGCAGCAGCTGCTCCAGCAGCAGCATCTGCTCCAGCAGCAGGAACAATTGCAGCAGCAGCAGTTTCAGCAGCAGCAGGAGCAGCTCCAGCAGCAGCAGCTCCTCTTGTTGCAGCAGCAGGAGCAGTTACGGCAGCAGCTGCTGCAGCAGCAGCAACAGGCACAACTGCAGCAGCAGCTGCTGCAGCAGCAGCAGGCACAGATACAGCAGCAGCTGCTGCTGCAGCAGCAGGAACAGCTGCAGCAGCAGCAGCAGCTCCAGCAGCAGCAGCAGCTGTTGCAGCAGCAGCAGGAACAGCTCCAACAGCAACAGTTGTTGCAACAACAGCAGGAACAGCTGCAGCCAGAGGAGGAAGAGGTGGAACTGGAGCTCATGCCAGTGGACATGGGGACGGAGGAGGAGCTGGCACAGCAGCGGCAAGAGCTGGAGCGGCAGCAGGAGCTGGAGCGGCAGCAGGAGCAGCGGCAGCTGCAGCTCAAACTGCAAGAGCAGCTGCAGCAGCTGGAACAGCAGTTGGAGCAGCAGCAACAGCTGGAGCAGCAGCAGCAGCTGGAGCAGCAGGAGGTCCAGCTGGAGCTGACCCCCGTGGACCTGGGCGCCCAGTCACAGGAGGTGCAGCTGGAGCTGACCCCCGTGCAGCCCGAGCTGCAGCTGGAACTGGTGCCCGCCCCAGGGAGCGGCGGGGCTGCTGTCCCAGGAGCTCCAGCAGCCGTGGTGGTGGCCCCTCCGGGCTACGTGGTGCTGCAAGAGCTCATGGTGCTGCCGGCCGTGAGCACGTCGGCCGTGGTGGCCATCCCGGGTCCGGCGGGCAGTGCGGCGCTGACACCTGCGCGACAGCGGCGGCGGCGGCGCGCACGGGACAGGCCGACCATCTGCGGGGAGTGTGGCAAAGGCTTCAGCCGCAGCACGGACCTGGTGCGGCACCAGGCCACGCACACCGGCGAGCGGCCGCACCGCTGCGGCGAGTGCGGCAAGGGCTTCTCGCAGCACTCCAATCTGGTGACACACCAGCGCATCCACACGGGCGAGAAGCCCTACGCCTGCTCCTACTGCTCCAAGCGCTTCAGCGAGAGCTCGGCGCTCGTGCAGCACCAGCGCACGCACACGGGCGAGCGGCCCTACGCCTGCGGCGACTGCGGCAAGCGCTTCAGCGTCTCGTCCAACCTGCTGCGCCACCGGCGCACGCACTCCGGGGAGCGGCCGTATGTGTGCGAGGACTGCGGCGAGCGCTTCCGCCACAAGGTGCAGATCCGGCGCCACGAGCGCCAGCTGCACGGGGCCGGACGCTCGCGGGGCCTCGGTCTGCTGCGACCTTCGCGGCCCGCGCCCTCGGGGGGCGCATCGCGTGCCCAGCAGGCCTCCGGGCCACCCGCCAGCAAGGCATCGTGATGCGGGTGCGCCTCGCCTCCCAGCACAGGGCGGGGGACGGGCTGGCAGCGCGCGGGTGGGAGGGGCTGGGGGGGGCTGATGCACCTGACACCACGTTGTGATCTTGACCCCAGTGTGTGATCTTGACCCCAGTTCTCCTTATCTCTGGACACCCTGGGGGTGAGGGGGAAGGGAGAATTGAAAAAAAACAAAAAAACTTCCATCATCCCCTGAGACTCTCTAAGAAGTACCAGGTTTACAAATTCACCCCCAAAAATCATCCTCAAGAGAACAGCCCCCGTGGCTCAAACAGCACCAGGGGAAACCGATGGGCGAGAGGGCTGCCTAGTTTGGGGTTTTTTTTCTTTTTATTTCTCTTATGAGAAAATTGGACGAACAACTTGGTGACGTTTGACGCCAACTGAACACTAACCAGGGAATAAAAAATATATATGAGGTGATAGGCACACGGAAAAGATTGGATGCTGATGGAAATTATGTCAAAGAGAAAAAAAAAGGGTGGGGGTGGTTGAAAGAAAACTTACCTGCTTTATGCAAAGAACTGAGCAAGGCACTGAATTGTCCTTGGTGTCATTGGCCTTGAAAAAATACCTGCTGGGTAAAAGTCCCTGGGGGAAATAATTCTGATGGAAATGCCTGTGTTCATAGACATGGGGTCACAGTGTTCACAGGGTCAACGTGCAGACAAATGCCAGAAAGTTCTGCTCTGGGCTAAAGGTTTAACCTTCCATCCTGGAGAGCCCAAGTTTCTGTACCTGTTGGAGGCAGGTTCTCGGGCCTCTGCTACAAATGTTCCCAAGTCCCCTTGCAGCCCCCAGGCATGTCCCCTGAAATGAGATCCTGAGAGAGCTCCAGGTTTGCCCTATGGAGGCCAGGGCTGCCCAGGTGCTGCTCTGGTGCTGGCAAATTGAGACTCCAGGTGGAAGACTCCCCCGGACCAGGCTGCGGGAGGGGCTGCCTGAGCACACCCTGCCTCCTGGCTGGGAAGAATCAGGAGTGACAGAAAGGTTATTTACCACCTCACCAAATCGTTGAGGGGGTGGGGTGGGGCAAGGGCTGTATGAGCTGCAGTAATCGCTGATGTCTCCTGGGAAGGCAGGCAGGTGGAGGAGGCCACCTGCTGCCTTTGGCCTCCGGGCTCTACCTGACCTGTCTTCACAGGGTGGCTGCTTGGTTTTGCCTCTCTCTCCCTGCCCTTGCTTCTCTTTTACTGACACAACCACGTTTTCCATGTGTGTTGGTAAGTGAGAAACAAAACATGAAAAATAAAACGAAGAGACACGGTGTCCTGTCTTCATGTTTTCACGTCTTTCCATGGGAATAATATCTTTTCACTGCTTGATGGGCAAGGTCTGTAACACTAGAGCCACAGCCCCAGCCGCTTTGTGTTTCTTTACTTTTTTTCTGGCAGTACTGGGGCTTGAACTCAGAGCCTCATGTTTGCTTGGCAGGCGCTCTACCACTTGAGCCACTTTGGCAGGCCTTTTTATGTTAGGCATTTTCCAGATAGGGTCTCATGAACCTATTGCCCGGGCCCACCTTGAACCTCTGTCCTCCTGATCTCTGCCTCCTGAGTAGCTGGGATTACAGGTGTGACATACAGCTTTAGTATGTTTTTCAAATAGGGTCCCACACTTTTGCCCAGAGCCAGAAACAGGATGATCCCCCTACCTCCTTCTCTAGAGTAGCTGGGATTATAAACATGGGCCACCACACTAGGTCCTGCACCCCTCCTTTGCTTCCTCTGCTTCCCTGTCCCACTCTTGCCCCGACAACCCCTGGGACCAAATTCCTTCTAAAATACTCCCACAAAAGTCCTCATTTCAAAACCTGCTTCTCAGAAGCCTGGCCTAAGAGCCCTGGTGTTGACAGTGGCCCTGGGCAGTGGAGTCTAGATGTGGGATTCTGGGTTTGAGGCTTGGCATAGCAGGTAGCAGCAGGGGGCCCCCAGTAAGTAGTGAGTGGTGGTTGCCTCTGGCTGCTGTACTGATGAAGAACAGGGTACCCACCTGGCTCACACAATACCTCAAGCACTTAAGATACCTGGGAAATGGTAATGATAAAGACTGGAGTTGGGGCTCAGTGGTAGAACACTTGCCTAGCATGCACAAAGCCCTGGGTTCCATCCCCAGCTGTGTGTGTGTGTGTGTGTGTGTGTGTGTGTGTGTGTGTGTGTGTGAGAGAGAGAGAGAGAGAGAGAGAGAGACCCTCATTTCTCTCCATCAAGGGCAGACTTCTGAAGACCAGGCAGAGGAGCACTCAGGAGGTAACTGAGGCAGGATTACAAGTTCACGACCAGCCTGGACTACATAGTGAGACTCTGTCTCAATTAAACAAAACAAGCCAGGTGTGGTGGTAATCCTAACTACTCAGGAGGCTGAGGTGGAAGGATGGCAAGTTTGAGGCCAACCTGGGCGAATGTAGTAATGAGATCCTATCTCAACACAAAATTAAAAACAAAACAAAAAGGGACGGGGACATAGATCATATGGTAGAACGCTTGCCTAGCATGCACAAAACCCTGGGTTCCATCCCTAGCACTGCAAAATAAAAAATTAAAAAGATCCCCAAAAGCCTGGCTGTTACACCAGCCTGGTGTAACAGCAAGGGAACTTCAGAGCAGGTTGGAGTATATTCACATTGGAGCCCAGATGTGGATGGGGTGGGGTCCTCTGGCTTGGATTGATGACATGTGGAAGGCTGGGGGCATGGCTCAAATGGTAGAGCGCCTGCCCAGTGAGCATCAGGCCACCAGCACCACAAGGAGAAGGCCTGGAGGAGGAGGAAGAGGAGATGGAGATGGAGAAGGAGAAGGAGAAGGAAGAAGGAAGAAGAAAGAAGAAAAGGACAGCTGAAGGAGGAGATGGAGGAGGAAGAGAAGAAAAAAAAAAGGAGGAGGAGGAGAAAAGAAAAGGACATCTGGAGATCATCAGGGCCCCACAAGCACCCCAAGTCCCCTGGGCCTGCAGATATGGCTGTGGCCCATCTTCCTTTGCAGCTCTATCCCTCACCTTGACCGAGACATGGCAGGAGTCTTGGGGGAACTTGTGCCTTCCAAAGGCTACCCCAGCTCCCTTCCAGACCATGAGCCCTTTGACAAGGTTTAGTCCCAGAGTGGTCTGGCGGAGGTCTCTTCGTCAAGGGATTGGCAAGGCCTGGCCGGGTGGATGTGCCCCTACAGGGAGCTACGGAGTATACAGGGCAGAGGACTCTGGCCTTATGGGAAGCTCAGCCAGGGATGTTTCCTGAGGCAATTCTGGAAGGGCTACCATAGAACTGGCTTCCCCCATATCAGGACCAGCAGGGGCCGGCTGTCCTGCTTAACCACCAGAGGCAAGATGGACATGACAGTAAAGTGGACATCCAGGTGGCCAAGATGCATGGATGTCTGTGGTGATAGGTAGTGACTGTGATGATCCCAGCGGGGAGGGAGATGAGCATGCAACTAGGGTACTACTTGACTTGTACACTCCTCAGAAAAGGTCCAGTGGTGACCTTGAAGGCCACTGTCAACTTCCCCAACAGAAAGTCACGATCTCTTTCCTAGTGTCTAGACTTGAGCCAGTTCTTGGATCCAGAGAAGCTGGGTCCCTGACTATACAATTCCACTGAATACAGCATGAGTGGCAGCAGTGATTTCCTTATCTTCTCCCCCATGGACATAGAGTCATTTTCCCAAGTAAAAAGTCACCAGGGGATGGGATATTTAGCTCTTTCAAATAGGCGCCTTGAGTCACCCCCTCAGGCCAGCTGAGAAATGCTGAAGGCAGGAAATCTAGAACTGAGCAATGGAGAAGGGTAGGTGACAGCTTTGGCGTCCCCCTTCTTGGATACCTGTTCCCTACACAGAGTGGAAGCGATATGTGACACAGTTGGTTCTATGAGGGGCAAGGTGGGGCCTGGAGCCAACATGGATTCTGTGCCCATGTCTCTTTGAATGATCCTTCAGATGGATGGGGGGGCCCTCACCCCAGGCCTGGATTCAGGGTTCTTGGCTCCCAGCAGCCCATACCTGCAGTTCTGCAGCTCTTCCACACATGCAGCACGCAGAAGGGGCAGGGAGTGGATGACCTTGGCATGGGGAAAGTCTGGCTGCCCTGCCTGACGCTGGGATGACTCTGAGGCATTATTTCTGTTCCAGATGGGAATCTGTTATTACAGTGGGACTTTGCATCTCACCCTTCCTGTCCTCTGTTACTCTCTCTCTCTCTAGCCCCCCCGACTGCGTTCCAAAATGGTCTTCTAAGGTCTACTTCTGGGAAATCTGACTTAAGATGCCCAGATGGACTGGGGCATGGTGGTGTATACCTGTAATCCTAGCTAATTGGAAAGTGAACAGAAGGATCATAGTTTGAGGCTAGCATGTGCAAAAAAAGTCATTGAGAACAAGCTGGGCACAGTGGTACCTGGAGGACTGAAGGCCAAGGGCAGCCTCGGCAAAACCACAATACCCTATCTGAAAAACAGACTGAAGGTAAAAGGCCTGGGGCATGGCTCAAGTGGTAGAGCGCTTGCCTGGCAAGTGTGAGGTCCTGATTCAAATCCCAGTACAGAAAAATTAGACGCCCAGATGGGTGGATGGGCAGAGCCTGGTCTTAGGAGGGAGAGGAAGGAAGAGCCAGGCTTGCTTCAGGTGAAGGGCTGAAGGCTGCCAGGTGTGGAAGGGCATTTTCTGAGATGCTCCCAGCAGGTGAGGGAGACACAGATTAATGATCACGGGACATGGAGTGACTGTTGTGGGGAGCCAGGAGGTCTCCAAGGAGGGTCTAGACTATCAGAGGCACCTTTAGGTGAGGGAAGAGGGACTGAAGGGAAGACAGATAAATACTACTGCTAACTTAGATTGCTGGTATTGCTTGCAATAGATATGTTTAAGGTAGAAACTGTCTCACCATCAAAGGGAAGACCGGGGGCGGGGCAGCTTTGTAGTGACAGCATCAACACGGTTAAGCTGGGTTCTCAATTCTGTTTCCCAGAATTCCCTTTCTAGTTCTGGTTCTTGTCCATCACACTGGGGTACTTGTTGTCAGCAAAGAGAGGTTGCACTGAGCATGGAAGAAGACAGAAAGGTCAGCCATGATCACGTGACCAGCTGCAGAAAGGAAGGCTAGAAAGGTTATGGGTGCCTCTTGTGTTTTTTGAGACAGGATCTCTCTATGTAGTTCAAACTGTTCTTGAATTTTCGATCTCCTATCTCGTCCTCCTGGGAGCTGGGATTACAGGTGTGCACCACTATGGCTGGCTTTTTCCACCCTTACTTTTATAGGAAATCTGTTGGTTTATATGTTAACCATTTTTTTCTCTTTCCCTTTCTCACTTCCCAAACATTTAACTTAACTTTCCCCATGGTTCACTCTATTTTTATTTATTTATTGAGTTTTGAGATTGGGTTTTGCTATGTTGTCCAGGCTGGCTTTGAACTCCTGGACCTCCTCCTACCTCAGGGTCCTGAGTAGCTGGTACCAGAGACATGTGCCACCATGCCCAGCTAACATGCTATCTCAGTATTAAGTTAAAAGAAATTTATTTGGAGGGCAGTGTGTCTTAGCTAGAAGAGGAACAGCATCAGTTAAAGATGGAGAAGGGGTTTGGGGGTCTCCCTAGAAGGAACTTATGTCTTCTTTGAGGAAAGGGGTTCATGTGGCGTAGGAAAATAGCAGAGGCAGGAGGATTGTGAGTTTGAGGCCAGCCTGGGCTACAGAGCAAGATCCATCGACACCAAACAAAGCAAAACAACAAACAAACAAACAAACAAAAACTACCTGTGTGGCAGATTTCACAGGAAGGAGTGACCCAGTCACACAGAAGCACAGGTCTGATGCTATTTCCAGTGAAGTGACAGTCACATCCCTCACATCTAGCCACTGTCCCCAGGAGGTGGTGTTAGGTTCTTACTGGAAAGAACGTCTCAGGGCCAGATATTCACACAGGTTCCGAAGCGTGTCCTAGCTCCTGAGGGTGCCCAGATACCCTGATGCCACCCAGGGGTTCTCCTTGCAGAGGTGCCTCATCTGCTCTGGGGCATCTTCTTTCCATCTTCTCTCCCAGAAGGGCACCTTGATCCAAAGCACCCCGGGGCTTCCAGCAACTGTCTCTATGAAGTGACTACAGGGATTGCAATGAAAGCTTCCTTAGGGTGCAGTTGCTCAAACCTGTAATCCCAGCTATTTGGGAGGCAAAGAATGAGAGGATTGAGGTGCAAGACCAGTTCAAGCAAGAGGTTAACAAGACCCCATCTAAACAAAAAGCCGGGTGTGGTGGTGCACATCTGTGAGCTC